CATAACAGTACCTTGTATACTTTATTAAATCACCTAAAAATACCTTCGAATAATTTCATCAATACAATATGTTAATAGTAATTAATTTTTTGACTACCTGCATAAGATTCAAGACTAGACTCTCATTGGTTCGCAGTAATATTAAAAATAAAATAATGAACATGTTTGGTCTTTCAACCTGTTTCTAAACGTGTGTGTTTTTCCCATGTTTATTACCTCAACTGCCGTGCGGTTCAGTTTACATACTAAGCTTCATCGAGACGCCTGTTTATTTCGCTTTAGTTAAGTGTAAAATTCGTACGTCATAAGTCACATAAGTTCGTTTTGTACCCAATGATACTCAAAATGAAGAGGAATTTTCCATTTCGTAAGTAACTTATTAAATTTTGATTTTTTACTGTGAAATCTTAAGAATTGTTATTTAGTAAATGACAATACCTTTGAAGGCTTAAAAATATTTTTTGTTTCTTTTGTGGAACTTAGCTTAAACGAGTTTCTTTCATCGCGATTTTTTTCTTAATTTGTTTATGCGTAAAGATAATTTGCATAGCAGTTAATATTTTATGTTTATGTAGGTACTACAAGAAATTATAAAGTTTAGGTCATGTCTACCACGTACCGTGTTAGGTTGTCTGTTTGGTATTAAGCGCAATCCAAAGTACCTATTATCTTTCTATTACTAATTCCGTACCAAAGAAGCATAACACTGCAACTCCATTTTATACGATTTTGAGATTTTAAGGTGTCCTACTTAAGTTTTCGAGCTCTATCGACCCATAAAACTGTATCTACGAAATTCGCCATAGATACGGAGTTCTTTAAAAGTATTTTGATGTAAAACCGCTTCCACTACGAAGTATTTTATTGTATAGTACAGTGTTATGCTCAATTTTAATACAGATACAGTATAATGTTAAAAAATAACGAAAACAAATGTATAGGCCACGATTCGCCGGTCTCTGATCAAGGAATACACCGCGAAATCCCCCAATTGAGGTTAGAGTCTCGCTACCCTTACACAAAAAAAATGTTTCTGTTTAAATATGAAAAAGTTCCTGTACCAATCCAATCAGTGGGTTCTGTTAATAATTGTTAACAGAACCCGTGATACGACTTCACGGGGGTCTCTGGTGGACCGGACTTAGATATGGACTCGCCGAGGTTTGTTAGCTGCGGAGAAAAACACGTTCGTCTGCCCCGGTAACATGTGTCTGGGGTGTTTGTCCTGCACGCAGCTATCACGTTTTAGTAGCGGTCTAGACGACGGCCTAAAGCGAAGAGATGCGCGGGACACGTGCGTTGCACTTTAAGTTGGAAGCTATGTCCGGACATTGTCGCAAAACACTACGACCAGCATCTTCGGCACTAGCCCGGAGAGCCAGTCAAGGACAAGCTAGATATCCTCCGGTTCCTCCAGATGCGTAGGTTTATGGGAATCACAGAGACGCTTCGTCGTCGATAAAAATGAGCGTGCTTACAGCTCCGCCACAAAGAGCAGATTTGGTAGTTGACTTAGAGTCGACAGCTTAACTTTGGCAACCGTTAGTTGCGTAGAGCGCAATGAGAAGTGAGCGTGCCTACAGCGTCGGTACCTATCTGGGACTATTTTCCAGAGGATGCTGTATGTGCACCCGGAGCAGCTCACCCAAGGCACTAGCCGTTGAGAACCGGATGAAGTCCGCGCAAACGGGCTGATCTGGGCCCTCATAGCCCTCAATTATTTGACAATGAAAATTTCGTTAACACTCCCGCTGATCCTTAGGTATGCTAAAAAATAAAAAATGAAAGTTATGCTGTAGCATTAACGATTCCGATTTTAACTGGACGCCTCGTGAACCAAAACGTCACAAGGGCTAGATCACTTTACATAGTACACGTACGTGACTCCGAAATGTCAGGAATTATTGTACTATTTTTTTTTATGAAAAAATTAAAAAAGAGTAATATTGAACATAAATTCTTCATATATTTATTAGCAATATAAACAAAAAAAATCTTATTTTTTAACTAAAGGAACCTTTGTCGGAATCGTGGTCGGAATCAGTCATTCCATCACATAGTCGGTACCTACAATGGTTTTGTATTTTTAATTCTCATTGTAGGTACCGACTGTGTGATGGGATGACTGATACTGACAAATATTACTTTACCGAGTTCTTAGGTTTTCGCGATTGTTACACATAGGAAATGAAACTATTTTTCCGGATTTAAATCATCAAAAATATTTGTTTTTTCAAACAAACCGACGTTTCGGGCCCTTTACATGTCCCATGGTCACGGTTGACCGAGTTGGTACAGTCTTCAACCAGTTACGTCTAATATTTTTTTTTTTTTTTTTTTTTATACCTGACATGCAAATGACTCCACTCCACCTGATGTTAAGTGGAAAGTGGTATCCAAACGCGAAGGAACCTAGTGCAGCGATGGAATCCTCACTGCACTAGCCGCCTCCACCCTGCCTGCCTACAATATGTAAATGTAAATGTAAATGTTGATGTAAATCATCCTGTTTTTTCACTATAGTTACAATAGTTATTAATTAAATACCTTATTTTTAACAACAAACCTGTAAAGGGCCCGAAACGTCGGTTTGTTTGAAAAAACAAATATACGCGATTTAAATCCGGAAAAATAGTTTCATTTCCTAAAGGTTACTTTAGTTAAAATAATAATAATGATAACAATTTCCATGTTGTATTTTTTTTATTTGTAAGAGGTGTCATATTACATTACGGTAATTTTTTCTATTTGATTTTTGTTTAAAAGCAACGCAGTGTGTGACCAAGTTTTTTGTTTTATTGTAATAAATACCGTTAAGAGTAAGAAATTTATTTCATTGTGTAAACAGCCTTGATCTCTAATTACCAAACTTTGAATATTAGAACATTCTGTTACTAAAAATTGATCCGTTTTATTTTTATGGCATCCTGAATGTTATACATGCTGCATTTTGACACTAAATCGCTATTCCTGTAAAATTACAAAAATGGCGGTTACAGTATAATGCTTCTCAGGCACGGAATTACTTTTTATGTTGGACTGCGTAGATTGACAAAGTAATCATAAACCATAACTAAATAAATTAATAAGCAGGTTGTATGTTTTCAGTGATTGCCTTTATTTGGCTACAAAACATGTCAAGTATGTATGGCCAGAAGTTAACTAACTCTCGTCTCAATTACTTCGACACTGATCTTCTGCGATACTTCGGCGAGGAAAAGGAGGGTAATGTAATGATATCACCAGCCAGCGTCAAATCTATATTAGCGATGATATTGGAGGGTGCTGGTGGATCCACTGCCACGGAGATCAGGAGTGCGTTGAGACTATCGCTCAATAAGGAAGAATATAGGGAACAGTTGAATCTGTATCTGTGTGCGTTACAGGTAGTTTTCATTTACAGTTGATTCCATACAAAATAGAATAATTTACCTTTTGTAAGGCTTATAAAAATATTATATTTTATCGATTTGGTCATAAGTATAATTTAATTCAATTTCAAACAATATATATTTACCATTGACTTACAATTATATGGACGTCGGGTCCGCGCTAAAAAGTGTCCGCACTTGTGAGGCGCTAAAATCGTATACAGAGCGCGACACTCCGCTTTAGTCTTCATTTGTTCGACTGACAGCGCGATACTGCGATGACATTACAATTTAAATTTCGAATAGGTTGACTTGGGACATTTTTTTCATGGTTTTTGTATTAGACCCGTCGTCCATTTATTTGTAAGTCAATGATATTTACGCATTTATTTTAAATTGTAAACTGGATTAATTATTTCTGGCGATTCAGGCGAACACAACGGGCACGTTATTAAAAAACGCTAACGGAGTATTCATGTCAGATAAGATGAGGCTTAATAAGGATTACGAAATTATGCTGAGGAAGGTTTACTTTGCTGAAGTCAACCGCATGAACTTCAAGGACCCAATACCGGTAGCGGAGAAAATCAACAGCTGGGTGAACACATCTACTAAAGGACTGATACCTGCTATTGTAGAGCCAGGTACCTATGTTGGAATTAATAAAAGTATGATAATATGTGGACCTAAACTTAAACTTTAACTTTAGACTACATAATACTGAAGCGTTATTGTAGCAACTGAGAAAAAAGGTATTTGTAATAACAGTAAAATAAACCGAATACTTTAGTGACACACACAAACGCACACATACTAAACACACACACACACACACACACACACACACACACACATACACACACACACACACACACACACACACACACACACACACACACACATGTTACATGCCTACGCTTCGCGCATGTCGCCGATTGTGCAATTTACCTCAACCTACTTTAATTCTGGAAATTCAACGTGGAACGGCCACGAGTGCTGACAACGTGCAACGTGACCACGCTTCGGAAATCAAGCACTTTCTGTTCTCACATCGAGCGATTGTCACATAACCATATAATTAAGTTTTATTACATTTGAATTGCAATTGTGAATATTGTATTCCAATTGAATAGCTTATTACAATTTTTGTTTTTTTTTACATCCTTCGGCTGCAGCTTACGTATTTGGGGCAGTCGGTAGGATACTCGCGGGCCGGTTCGCGAGACGCGTTTTCGTAAAAAAACCAAAATCCGCGTTCGCGTAAATCCCGGGGGCTGTCTAGCTCCGAAGACTGAGTATCCGAATCTACACGTCGAGCTGCTGCCAGGAGTATCCAGACTTCGATACAGTAAAAGAGGCCAGAGATGCTGCTTATGTAAGTACATTAAAATCTTTTAGTGTCTTGCTTTCCTATATATTACAAAGTCCTATAATTATACCCACGATTCCCATCTCAGGCAATCAGGGATTTTTATGGTAGGTAGTTTTCGTACCGTATATATATATAAATCGTATTACGATTTGAATAGAGATTTAAATTGTAGTTTTAACTCTGATAGTTCTGAAGAGGATAATATGGCCGACTTAGAGCACATATTTAAGGCGCTCCGCCTGGTCCCCGAATTCGACGGGAACCCTAATGTACTCACACGATTTGTGCAATTATGTGACCAATTGGTAAGCGAGTTTGTAGAGAATGCTCCCGTGAGTCAATTGCAAAAGATTGCCCTTCTTAATGGTATCCTCAATAAGGTGACAGGCCCCGCGACACGTTTAATCAATTCGAACGGTTTCGGGTTTCGGTTTCGAAGTTTCTTCTGATTGCCAGGTACTCGCACGGCGCTTGTTAATAACTTTGCAGACCAGCGTGATGAGACCGCTCTTTACAATGACTTGGCTATCTTAACGCAGGGCTCTGGGTCACCCCAGGAATTTTACGAAAAATGTCAAAATCTCTTCTCAACCATAATGACTTACGTCTCTTTGCATGAATCAATAGGTACAACGATCGAAGCAAAAAGGGAACTTTATAAGAAACTAACCTTGCAAGCCTTTTTGCGTGGGCTTAAGGATCCCTTAAATGCGCTTAAATTTGTTCAGAGTGAATTAAACACTATTTACTTACAACAGCGAAACGAACATTTACCGGACAAAAAGTGGCAGGCTCAGGTACAAAATAATCAGCCTAAGTTATAGCTTAACCCTAATTTCGGTATGACACAACCTAAGCCTTTTAACTTTAACATGCCGTCCACCTAAGGCTCAATTTATGCCCCCGGCGCCTCCTCAGTTTACGCAGAATTATGCTCAGATGTATCAAGGGGGCCCATCTCGAACACAACAGATGTTCCGTGCTTAACCGCCTAGCTACAATCCGCATAATGCGTTTAGGATGCCACCACGTAACCCGGTACCACAGTTTGGTGCACCACGACAAGAGCAACATCCTCGCCCCATGAGTGGCGTCAGCCACTTTGTATCAAAACCGTTCCGTCCGAATCCTTTCAGTAACAACACTTACGATTGGTCTAAGCAGGGTAATCCTCCACCCAGCAATTACTTTAAAACGAGAGAGATGAATTTTAACGACTGTGTTGGTTACGATGGTCCTAACCTAGATTACTATTATCCCAATGACCCTTACGATAATTATGAATATTATTTTTCTGATAATGAGGCACAATTTTATAATCAGCATTCGACACAGGAAAATTATAATAGCGATCAACCTCAACTATTGGCTCCGCCACCAGCTATCGGCGATAATAGTCAGGATTTTCAGAAGGGACCCAAATTGGACAAGCAAAAATAGAATTAAACCTGCAAACCCAACGCCAACTCCCGTACATACAAATACAAAATCCATCCCTTAAACTTCTTATAGATACGGGAGCAAACCAATCGTTCCTCAGCCCTCGTACTGTAGAGAGATATTTCAAGGATATACCCTTAGATTTGAACCCTTTCGAAGTATGTAACGTTCATGCAGTAACTCGTAGTGATTATTCTATTACGATACCGTGTTTTTCAGAACTTAGCGACAATAGTAACGTAACATTTTTTGTGTACAATTTTCATGAATATTTTGGCTTAATCGGATCAGATTTATTAGACAAATGGGAGGCTACCATCGATTTTAAGAATAAATGTTTCAACACTAAAAATGCTTCAAATGATATTAAAGTGTACGACTCCCAAAATACAAACCTGTACGAGGATATTATCCCCGCAGGATCATCAAAATTAGTCAGGGTCCCCATTAATATTCATGACGGAGATGCCATCATTAATGAGCAATCAATATCTAACTGTGTCATAGCTGAGTGTCTAACGACGGTAAAAAATATAATCGCGGTATAATAGAAATTCATAACCATACACGTAGTGATGTTATCTTCTCCATGGATCGCCCAGTTCAAGCTGAAACCTATGTTGAGAACACTCAATCTGATATGTTAACAAGTAGTGCAAAAGCAGTGCTATCAAAGCTTCGTACAGATAATCTTAACGAAGAGGAAAAACGGAATCTTTAATCACTTTGCTCTCAGTTCGCGGATGTATTCTATTTAGAAAACGAACCCTTAACTTTCACCAACAAAATTAAACATTCCATTAAGACCAACGAAATTCCCCTCTATACAAAAAGTTATCGTTACCCTTTTATCCATAGACAAGAAGTACAACGAACGAACCCTTAACTGTCACCTACAAAATTAAACATTCCATTAAGACCAACGAAATTCCCGTCTATACAAAAAGTTATCGTAATCCTTTTATCCATAGACAAGAAGTCCAAGAACAAATTAATAAAATGCTAGAACAAGGCATAATTGAACCGTCAGAATCAGCATGGAGCTCCCCTATTTGGGTAGTACCAAAAAAAGCTGATGCTTCGGGCA